GGGGTTCTAAACGTATTAGTAATTGTCCTTAGCACGGACCCCCGAACATCTGTGGTCCTGTTTGAACGCATTTACTCCATATTATACAATTACAATTATTATAAACACAACAACACTGAGAGCAAACCTTCATGTATTACACCCTATAAAGGTTTCTGTCACCTTAGGTGGGCTGCATACTCATTCGACAGCCGAATTTGGCTGGATATACCACGATGGGAAGTTTTCGTATCGAGTATTTAAGTCTGTGAGCTGAGATCTTGTATCCGTCTAAAATGCATAGATAGAACCGTGAAACATTTCAATACTAAAACAAAAACCTCGACAAAACCACCCCTCCCCAACCGGAAAAAATAAATCCCAAACAAATTAAAATGACAAAAACAAAAAACACCAAGAACTCAACGCCTTGACTCTACCGAATCCTTCAGGTCTGACATGTTAAGTATAATATTTACACAGTCCCTCTAATTTGCCACAAGGGTAATCAATCATTAAAGGTCAACTCAGTGTACTTTTCTAGGTCACAGTCCAAGTCAATATAAGGGCCAGAGCGCGCTCATTCCGAATTCTTAAACTGTGTCAACGGGGACCGTACACTATTTACAATCCGATTAAGTGCCTATCGGAGTGATTCTGTTCAGAGGGAAAACAATGGGACTAGTTTTCTTGATTTAATGATAGAAGTAAGGTCACAGGAGCTCTTTAAGCACTTGAGCTGTTATTACGTTATACGAATGAATGTTAATGGGCTCAGATGGGAGAACATTTCACTTCTTTCTCTCTTTTTCTAAAGCTTTAGTAAGAGTTTTAGAGCACTTGCAGCACACTAAAGTCATATAAGCGCTGAAGAGTAGGTGTTACAAGAGAGTAACAAATACACACGCAAAAAAGAAAGAGGACAGATAAGGACAATAGATGTATGATAGGAAAGAATGAATCAACCACACAAGAGCGTCAGCTAACCGACCATCTTCTTTCTCTCGTGGTTTAGAGGTACGGTGTTCGCCTCTTATTCAATAGGCGTTGTGTTCAAAACCTGACAGAGAAGGAAACATTTCTTCTCTGAAATTTTCCTTTACAACCCCCTTTCCTAACAACAAACCATGTTCTTTCTGCAGCCTTTCTATTGCTTCTCTTTGGTCTCTTCATACCGCTCTCTTTCAGCTACACCCTTCTTCTTAGAGAAGTTAGGGTCTAAATACCTAGCCTTCTCGGATAAGGGCAAACAATCTCTGCCCCCCCTCCCCCGTGCAAGTTGCACATGATAAAGATCCCTTGATGGTGCCAAAATCAGCAACCAACCTGGCAAAATTCAAAATCAATTCCTACCAAAACTGAAAATGTTTTGGTAAGTGTTTTACGCGCTCACAACTGTATAAGGTCATATGAGCGTACGGGATACATAAAACACTTTTAGTTTAAAAGTTGCCGCTGTGTTGACTGCAGTCTCCTACAAGCCGAACAATTGTGTCTGCTTCCTCCTTAATAAAGTGTCTCTGCCTGCCTTAGGGATGTGCAATCCCAACCAGGCAGCGTCAGAACAACCTGCTTCCTAAAAGCTCTTAACTGTGCCAACGGGGTTGTAGCATTTTTACAATTTGAAAGGCCTAAAGATTCTAGGCTATTCCAGCCATCACATCTCTGTGCTCCGGCATGGCTTGCTCCTTTTTTTCCTATCACATGCCTCTCGTCCTTATCTCTCTTTCTTCTTTTATAATATGTTTGTAACTCTCTTGTAACACCTCTATTTTTCGGCACTAATACAATCTTATTATGTTGTAAGTGCCGTAAAACTCATAATAGAACTAAAACTAAACAACTTTTCGGCTCGACCCGATTATACTGTTCCGACTAATCGGATAGATATATGTAGCACTGTAGCCACTCCTAGAAATCATAATTTTACGAACCTGGTGCTGTGGGTAAATGCCAGTATGTCATGGTCTTATTTTATTATACTTTCGAGTCCAGTACATAGACACTTTCCTAAAGGTTTCTCTCCGCTTCCATCTGGTAATGTTTGGCGTGACACGCAAAAGACAAAAGTATCAGGTTGCCGACGAATGGTGTACTGTATTCACACATATCACGGCAGGCATCTCGTTCTTGGTTTACACTTAATCATTTAGTTATTCCAGTAGGGATACTAATAAATACTACTGCAAAAATATAATGATAATAATAATAATAATAATAATAATAATAATAATAATAATAATAATAATAACAACAATACACTACACTCATATCCTGCCTTTTCATTAAAAACATTTGCTCAATGCGCAAAAACACGAGTGGCAAAAACACGAGTGGCAAAAACACGAGTGTCTTACACTGTTCCAGTATCCATCTTTTCTCTCCATTTCTCTCTCTCTCTCCTCTCTTTTCTCTCTCTCCCTCTCCTTCTTCACCTCTCCCTCCACAATCTCTCTCCCCCCCTTCTCTCTCTACCTCCCCCCCCTCTCTCTCTCTCTCTCTCTCTCTCTCTCTCTCTCTCTCTCTCTCTCTCTCTTTCTCTCTCACTCTCTCTCTCTACCTCCTCTCTCTCTCTCCCTCAATCTCCCCCCTCCTTCTCTTAGGGTTGAAAGGTCAACTATGATCGAGTTGGCAAATGCAGGTCCACGTATTTCAACACTGTTCTGTGTCTGGCAGAGACAACCATGACGAAATGTGATATCTTCTAGACAA